ACTGAACTGCTTCCTCGTCATTCCCAAGTTCACCATGGAGTCGTACTTAGCTTTTCCTTGTGTTTTCACTTCAAGTTTGTTGATGATGAAGGTTGATGTGTTGGATGTATATCTCAATTTCCCCTGCATCCTAACAGTATCCTCTCTTTTTTCATCATGGACATGTGTTTCAATTTTGGGTAGTTCCATCCAAACTTACCTTCACTTCGTATGTGTTCTGTTGAGTGGCCTTTGCTTTTCCTCGCATGGTTCATCCCAGAGACCTTCTTTTCCACCATTATATGAATGGCTTCTTGCTTCCTCACAAGATGACTCAGTTTTGCATACTCAGTTTCCTCTCCAGGAAGTTGCCAAGGTGTGTTGGCTTGTCAAAGTGGAGAAATCTTTCTCACATCTACACAATACTTAGTTCATCTTGGTGTGTTTTTCAACTCCCTCTTTAGTCAAGCCCAACCTTCTCCACTTTGGTTGAGAGCTATGTAATATCTCGCATGCAGCATCTCATCCTCTCCTTCTTCTACTGTGCGAGTGGCTCTTTTCTTTGGGAATGTAGACTACTCTAAAAGCTCTCATTCCTTGTTTCCCTTCCCTCTATATACCACCTTTATGATTGTTCCAATCCCACCTGCCTCCTTTGCCAGGTCAAGGATCTCCAGTAATATATGATATGCACTGCTCCCTTCTGTTGTTCTTGAATCTGTTTATTCCATAGAATCTTAATTTCACCTGTGATCTTTCTCCCATTACTCTTATGGGTTGGATTCATGATGATTGTCAGCTTTTTCAGGTTTCTTTCCATTAGATCTCTCACCTTACCATGTCCCTAACTACACATTTCCATCCTCCCTTGAAGGACATCATGTAGACCACTGCATATAGCTTTACATTTCATTATCTCCATCACGTGGCCATTTACTGCTCTTTGAGGTTCCACATACATCTTGTTGCTATTTTGCACTCCCCTGTTTCTCTATGAAAGGTAAGTCCTACCTTCATTTTCTTATTTTCTTTTCTTTGCATGGGCCTTTGTTACATACTTGGATTCTGCTCTGTGGCGAAAGTTGCATGACTAAGTATACTTAGTTTTAAATCTGCACTGAACAACCTGTGATTATATGCAATGCTAGATGATTGTGATGTTGAGTGTTTTCCCATTGTGGAATTGATGTACAATTCCAGATGCTGCCAGGTGTTGGTTGATCGACTCTGTCACCGTGTTTTCAATGCTGTCAAAATACAATGTTCTAACACTTATCCAAGTCATTTTACTCCAACCATTGAGATGGGGTGTTCAGCAGGACCACTTGTAAGTGTACCCTCTTTGTCTTTTGCTTCATAAATGTTTGTCCTGGACTGCACACTCATAGACTAACATGGGTAAAGGAGACAAGGATCGCTGCTCATCTCTGATGATCCATGGCATTTGATGCTAGTCCTACTGCAAACTTCCTGTACAATTCTAGACACCACTAGGATTTGAATGATGCACTCGGTCAATGTGATTGCTCTGCTTTTGAATATAGGGTATTGCAGTCAACCATTGCAATGTCTCTAGTGCTGCATTCCTCTGGCTTACCCATTGTATTATTTCCCTCCTTCTAGTGAAGTATGGGAGTCCTTGCCACTTACCAGTTCTTAGCCACTGGGGTGATGGACCATAGAGGCCTGACCTTTTGAGTAGGGTGGTGGCATGATGTCATTCCTACCATGAACCTAATGTATAATTCCTAATGCTGCTAGGTGTTGGATGTAACACTCCACCATATATGTATATATAGATTGCAGTTTGTCCCTCAAGCTGAGGCACCGTCCTTCCTACTATCTGCCTAATGTTAGTTCCCAGGGATCTGGTGTTGGTTGGAGCTGGATCAGCCACACAAGTCTTCACAAGTGTTTGGATGGTTATTCTCTTTCTACCATAGACTAGGCAATAAATGCCCAATGCTGCTAGGTTTTGGACTGGAGATGCAAACCCATATAGTTATCCCTCTTCCTACCATCTGCTGGATGTCAGTTCCCTGTGGATCTAGTGTTGTTTGGAGCTGGACAAGACACATGACTTTTGGCAGGTGTAAGATTTGGTATCCCCTCCTCCTACCATGGACTGGACAAAAAATTTCCAGTGCTGCTAGGTTCTCGACTGGAGATGCAAACCCATATAGCTATCCCTCATCCTTCTGTCTGCTGGATGTCAGTTCCCTGTGGATCTAGTGTTGGTTGAAGCTGGACAAGACGCATGACTTTTCGCAGGTGTAAGATTTGGTACCCCACCTCCTATCATGAACTGGACACAAATTCCCAGTGCTGCCAGATTTTGGACTGGAGATGAACTCCCACCTGGGCCTTCCACCTTCCTACCGTTGGTTGGATTTTGGTTCCTGGTGAATCTGGTGTTGGTGGTGTGTGCCTGCAGGGGCAGGTTATTGATATGGAAGCTCCTCTTCCTTAACAATACCCATTTTTGAGTTGAAAGATAGAGGACCCTCTTCAATTCCAGGTGTTGGATGTGGTTGAACTCCCATTTAAAATCTGTTGTGCCCTAACAAGTCTACACAAAGTGGTGTCCCATTTTCCTTTGATTCCACCTGTTTGGCAACACTTTACTCATGGGCAATGAGTATAAGTGGTGTAAAGAATGATAATTTTTTCACTAGCCCTCCACCTGTTCAGTGTAGGATTCAAGCTATTATATCAGAAGTTATCATTTTCTTAAACTGAAAATGTATTTCCAATATATACTTACCTCTTCTCACATTTCCCACTTGTCCCCCCCACAACTTTTGGTGTGGGATATGACCAATCTCGATGTGGTTAACAGTTGCAAGATTAGAGAGAGCACTGATTACAATAGGGGTAGTGTCACACTCCTTTAGGTGGAGGGTTGCTGCATAATCATTTGGATGTTAATATGCAGATGTTTCACATTAACATACATGAGGGTAAGTGGTAGTATCAAGGCTAGTGCCAAGGAAAAATTTGCACCGATACTGGACAGTATAAATCGAGAAAACTTTTTGTGAGAAGAAGTAAGTATCTATCAGAAATACATTTTCAGTTTAAGAAAATGTTAACGTTGCTGTGCTTTAGAAAGTGTATGTTTGATTTTTTAATTGTATATATTAGAGAGGTATTTTACTTGATCTATTACATTCATGATGGACACTTCAGATAATTTACTTCTTCCATGCTTACATTTGATGATTGTACTATAATACATTTTTTGGAAAACGTTTTTCATGTTCTATAGTCCAATGGCTCAGTCATAAGTCTGAGGACTTATAACACTAAAAGTCAGGTTTTGATACTCATGGTGGGTAAAACACAAGTAGTCAATTTTGTAGCTTTGTGCTTAACAATAGTTTTATGTCCCCTGGTTTGTCAGTAGGGAATTTACAGACTTACAACATTGAAATCCATTGTGTAGTTTTGCACTAAAATTAGCAAACAAAATGAAACCGTAATCTAATTCTTTTTATTTTTATGCTAGTTTTCTTCAGTATTCCTACATCCTTGTTCTGTCGTATCAGTTGTATTGTTCAGACTTTTATGTTATGGACACCATATGGATGCTTATTTCTGGACCATTCAGATGTATTTCTATTTCTGAATTGAAGGAACAACAGATTCAGGCAGCTGGGAAGTAGGTTATGATAATTTATTACCAAACTGATGGACTTGACATTATAATATTCATTCTGTTACAGTTGAAGGGTATTGGTTCATGCTGGTGGAAAGGACATTGATATAATGCATTGTGAAAGAGAATAACTTTACATCAGAATCTTACTGTGTACAATATAACCTGACTTCTTGGTCTTGCCAGTGTATTAAACATGCAAGAAAGTGTCAAATTAAAAATACCAAATGTTATTCAAAACACATTGTTCTGTAAGCTCTATTAAGTAATTTCCTGTAGTATTGGACACTGTATGTGATAAGATATTTACCAATGATATTTAAGTTTTGGGTGTTGCTGGCTGTGAGGAAGAAACTGATGCTTTACACAAGGATTATATGGAAAGTTGGGCAAATAAATAGCTGCTTGCTTTTAATTGTAGTAAATATAAGGTAATGCATGCAGTATATCACAGTTTGAATTGTGAGTATAATTTTAGTGGGAATAATCTTGACAGTGTTATGAAAGAAAATGTTCTTGTTGTTCTGGTTGATCAGTCTTCTAAGTCATCCAAGCAATGTGGCACAGCAAATATGATTTTAGGTTATATGTACAGAAATATTGAATACTAGTCTAAAGAGGTTACAATGTCATTACATAGATTACTGGTTAAGCTGGAGTACTGTTTACAGTCTTAGGCTCCTTACATTAGAAAGGACATTGAATTGTTGGAAAGGGATCAGAGGAGGGTTACTAGAATGATACCTGGGATAGAAAGGTTGTCATAACAAGGACAGATTATGATTTTTGAAATGTTATCTTGGGGAAAAAAATGTTAGATGGGATTTGATTGAGCTAAGATTGTTAAGGGAATTGATAGTGTGTTTGATGGTGAGAATGTAAGACTAGGGGATGAAACTATAAATTTTGGCAGGGTAGGAATCATTTTCAGCTTAGACAGCTTTTTATTTTTTCTAACAGAATGGTTGTCCTTAAGAAGGCTTAATAAATATTTGAATGATAAAGGCTGGATTTGTGTATTTTATTTTTTTTTATTTAGAGTTTAGTATAGCAGAGAGGAGCCTTTTTATCTTTAAATTATATGTATACATATATGTGTAAATGAATTAATAAAATGACCATGGCATACATCTGGCTTTTTTTTATGATACCAAACAAATGGTTATGTAGTTGCATTTTTCTTCAGATAACACAAATACAGTTTCACATAATTTGTTCAGAAACTATAACTCATCAATACATCCAAGTAGTCCTAGTGAATAATCTTTGTTAACATTCTTTACTTGTGTTATGATACTTTTTAAAAAACAAAATCTCCCAGAAAGATTATATGAAATTTATCCAACTCTTCTTTTTCTTTCAGACAGCTTATATACCAGAGAAAGAGCATTACCATGTCACAAAGGCACAGATGTTAGCTACAATGGATACTTTAATGGGAGGTAGGGCAGCAGAAGAACTGATATTTGGTCCAGAGAAGATAACTTCAGGTGAGATATTCAGAAGTTAAAAAGATGAAGTTTGGGACTGCTAACATAATCTGTTATTGTGCTTTATATTTTGTTTATATGCTAAATGACAGCCACAACTGTGGGGCCAAAGTCACAGTTATTCGTTCTCATTTATCATAAATAAGATATCTATTTCTTACAAATACAAAAATTATACATTTTTTTAAAAATAGTCCCCCAGTGGGACAGTGGTAGGTTCATGGACTTACAGTGCTGGAATACAGGGTTTGATTTCCCCGTGGTGGACACACCAGATAGCCCAATGTGGCTTTGTACTAAGACAAAAAACAGAAAAAATTATAAAAGAAGTTTAGTGATAATAACCACAAAGTAACCATCAGAGTATCCATACTATAACTTTTAATATTTTTTATGTATCTTTGCAAAATATGACAAACTTTCAGTAAACATTACAAGTTTTTTTACACAAAAAATAATTTTTTAATCAAGCATTTTTATTAAAGATTTGTAAATGAGTATATGGAGTCTGAGAGTTAACTGCTCTGAGTGCAAAGTGATTTTCATGTTAAGATTAAAAATACTTTTCTTCATCTGAAAATTTTTTAAATTTCTTTTGCGTAACCTCTATAAACTCCTAAATATAAATTTTTTTGTTAAATAAAACTTTATATTTTATCTCTAAATTTTTGTACCCTAACCCTATATGGACTCAGTCAGTTTAATCGAACTTGTAACCTCTATAAAAATATAAAATAAATTTAAATTTCCATTTTTTCTTTCTAGTGTAGATTGAAACAGTATATCCTAACTAGCTTAAAACTTGTAACATTATACATCTGTTTATACTCAATTTTATTCTTGTATTGCCCTTTAAACTGGGCCTAACTAATAATCCTGCCACATAAGTTGTAAATCACTTGGTGTCCACGTAGCTCATGTTACAGTATTGACTGATGTAATGCACAAACTTCTTGTGAGCATACCTCATGAAGAATTTTTATTATTATGTTTTTTTCATTATGTTACTAAACATTTGTCTCTGAATATATATAATCATAGTGTTGACTGCTCCAAGTGCAAAGTGATTTTCATGTTAAGATTAGAAATATTTTTATTTATCTGAAAGTTGTGAAATTTCATTTGAATAATCTCTAAAACCTCCAAAATAGATATCAAACTTTTGTTTTAAGTAAAACTATATATTTTGTCTGTTATTTTCTCTACTCTAACTAAACAGTATTGGACAATTTGATCGACCTAGTAACCCCCATAAAAGAAATACAGAAAAATCTAAATTGATCTTTTTTCTTTCTAGAATGAATGCATATTATATCATGGAATTACAGTTGCTTATCCTAAATGGCTTAACTCTCTCAATATGGGATCGGTCAATTTGACTGACCATGTGACCCTTTTGTACTCATTTAAAGTCTTTGTAGATTAAATACTTATAACTCACAATATAGTACATATGCCTTCGGGAAATGTTGCAGTATTTCAGTTAACATTACAAATCTTTCACACACAAAAAAT